CTTGCTCTTTTTGTTTCCAAGGTGATATGTTTGACACGTTAAACTGAACATGTTTAAAGAATATTAGTTATATAACAAAATTTATTAGATATTTTGCTTAGGGTCTGCATTTTCCATGGAAAATGTGCGCTATCAAACGGGGCCTTAGCTTTATTCAGTCTAATGCATCAAACATGTTACTAAAGTACATTATCGAGCCGTGATCGAGACATCGTAACTCAAAATTATGCATCTTCTTTGTCACCTTATCTATTCGGTTGGCTTCTACGTCCCTTTCCTCGTCAATTTGCTTTTCATTTGTAGCCTTCTCCACTTTCAACTGAAATTCATCAAATCCCTTCATTTCCCTCGTCATAAATTCAATTAAATGCTACCTTTATTCACTTTCTCCACTAATAATGCCTTTTTAAAAAAACCCTCATATTTTTCCTTCTCTCAAATAAAATACATTAATTAATTTTCTGCATTTTCCTCATAGAATTATGCATTCTAAATTGATAGAATATCCAATTAGTCCTATCTAAAATCTCTTTAATTCCATTTCCTTCTCCTTTTATGGCATATTCTTAAAAGTCATATTAACACTCTCCCTAAAAAAGTGCTTTCTTGATTGCTCTATGTATGGAGCAAATAGTTTTACACAATAAACCTCCTATGAAATCCTTGTTTTTCACAAATATAAAAAGAGTTCAAGAATCTTGAAGTTTATGTTTATTCACACCTCAGTTTCTCAAAACTTTGTTCATTATTTCAGAAGTCACACTTTCATTCACTGCTCTTTGACTTTATCAGTTTCCATCAATATTAAAGTTTGTAAAAGGTTGCAAAATCTTACGAGTTTCCCACAAAAAGTTTGATCTTCTCGAGTGAAAATGTCATCTTTGCTAAGGTTGTTACGTGCAATTCTTGTTCTGTTCGTAGTTTTGAGTGGCACTGATGCCAAATTGCATAGACACCCTCGAAGAAAATCAGTGTTTTATCGAACAATCTATGTCGATCAGTCAGGTAAAGGTAATTTCCAAACTATCCAATCTGCCATTGATTCTGTACCTTCAAACAACAATAAGTGGATTTGTATATACATCGAAGCTGGTGTATACAGGTAAATATATACGTTTTCTCCTTTTATACAAGTGTTTGAAGTATTATTATTATTATTATTATTATTTGTTGGTTTTTTAATGCTTTCATCCCTTTATGCAGAGAAGCTGTGAAAATTCCTTATGACAAGCCATTCATCTTCCTCAAAGGAGAAGGAAAATGGAAAACTTACGTAGTATGGGATAATCATGATTCAATTGCAACGAGTGCTACTTTTACTTCTGATGCAGACAACATAATCGTCAAAAGTATAACCTTCACAGTAAGAATTTTCGTATTTACTTTAGTATAATGAACAAGATTTTAGCTAATTTTACTTCTGTTGGATTTGTTTTGATGTGAGATTTCATGCAGAATTCTTACAACCGTCCCCCGGGGAGCTCTGGTAACCCGATGAGGACAGCGGTGGCAGCAAAGATATCTGGAGATAAATCATCCTTTTATCGATGTGGATTTTTGGGATTGCAAGATACATTGTGGGATGTTCAAGGTAGACACTACTTCAAACTTTGCAGTATCCAGGGAGCCGTCGATTTCATCTTTGGGTCTGGCCAATCAATTTATGAGGTAAACAAAACGTCAGTGTTTTGTACATAGTACTGAACAATACTAAACAAACTTCAGACATGAATTTGGGTTTTACATTCTTTGCAGAGATGCACAATATCAGTTACCGCAGGCGTGTTAAATGGACTAGCAGGATTCATAACAGCGCAATCAAGAACGAGTCCTCATGAGACAAATGGATTCGTGTTTAAGGAGTGTAACATAATTGGGAACGGAAAGACATTCTTGGGAAGAGCATGGAGAGATTATGCTCGTGTCGTATTTTATAACACCACAATGTCTGATATTGTTGTTCC